TCAAGATGCCAAAGATGGGGGGGGGTGAATTGGGCTAATTCTAAAATTCTTTGCAATAATTAAACCCTACACTTAGCCCACTTCACCCCTTGTTCCTAGAAAGTGATTCTAATGATCTACCATACAAAAGTTTAGCACCCTAAGTTCCAATCCTACTCTAGCATGGCAATTCTAAGAATGTAAAGACAAGAATTGAATTGCTCAAAAGTAAATGTTCAAAGTAAAGAGAGGAGAAAGAACATGACGATGTTTTGCCAAGGTATTAGAGAGTCGTCACTCCCCACTAGTCCTCGTTGGAGCACCCGCGTAAGGGTGTAGCTCCCCCTTGATCCACGCAAGAATCAAGTGCTTTCTATGGGTTAATTCTTCGATACTCTATCGTGGTGAATCACCCACAACCGCTCACAACTTGAGTTAGGTCATCCAAAACCTCCGCCGGATGATCACCAAACTCCCAATCACCATCAAGTTGTTTAGGTGATGGCAATCACCAAGAGTAACAAGCAAGAACTCTCACTTGACCACAACAAGCCTAATGAGAAGGGTGGATGCACACTTGCTACTCTCCTTTCACTAATGAGGCATTAATCTTGGATTCTCAAATCTCAATCACCTCACTAGGCTCTTGCTCTCCTTGGCACTCTCAAGGGTGTTTCTCAGCTGTTGAAATGGGCAAGAATACTCCCTTGAATGAATAGAGGAAGTATTTATACCCTCTCATTCAAAACGAACCGTTATGTGCTTGAGTCAGCACACTGCGGGGTGACCGGACGCTCCGGTCAAGGTGACCGGACGCTCCGAGCAGTTCTCCCCGCCACTAAGCCGTTAAGTTGTGACCGGACTCTGACCAGTGTCCGATCAGCACTGACCGAACGTGTCCGGTCGCGAAAACTACTCTCTGAAATCTTACTGATGTTGACCGGACTCTGGCACCTAGCGTTCGGTCACTTTGCTGCTCAGCGTCCGGTCAGTAACCGGAACCTGACCAGTGTCTGGTCAGCACTGACCGGACGCGTCCGATCAGGATTCTCCCTCTCTAGAACCTTACTGGAGTTGACCGGACTCTGGCACCCAACGTCCGATCACTTTTCACTCAGCGTCCGGTCGCATCTAGATGACTTCACTTGATCAAATGAACTGAACGAACTCTACTGCCAGCGTTCGGTCAACATTTGATCCTCCATTCACTTCCAACTCGAAATCATATGTGAATGAAGTTTTCTCCAATTGATCTTAGGGCTACTTTGGAGCTACCTAGTGCTAGATTTGATAAGTGTGCACCACACCTAACCCACTAGACTCACCTAGGTGAAGCTACTAGTCCATACCCCCCTTAATAGTATGGCCAAAGGAAAAATAAAGTCCTAAACTACTCTCTTCAACACCAAACGACACTTAGAACTAGTCCATCCTTAACCTTATCGTCCATCCTTTAAAAACCGAAACGATTTCCATCGTAGGGGCATGACAACTATGATTGCCCAATCAATTGCCATTACCATGACCTAACTTTATTGCCTTTGCAAAATACACGTTAGTCATAGTAATCTTGTATTGTCATTAATCACCGAAACCCAACTAGGGGCCTAGATGCTTGCACCCTCCACCCGCTGCCCCTCCTCGGCTTCATCGAGACCGTGTCTTCTAGCTTCCAATCTACCGAGGCGCCCCACCCCAACGTCCCCGCCGCCGGCTTCTCCTTTGACTATACCTCCCTCCCGCCAGATAGAGCCCGTGGGCAGTCTGTGACATCCGCGATGGACATGTCCTCTTCAAGAACAGCCCCATTGGCTTTAGAGGTGTCACCCTCCTGGATCTAGCCGTGTGTGATCCCTTGTCCTGGCGGTACCGGCTTCTGCCCCCCATTCCCGACGACCTCGCCTGTAACACCCTAGGTGTTAAGCATGCATTTGGTATTGGAATTGCATGAGCACAGGCATCATTGATCATTCATAAGCATGAGCATCTCGAATTTTATCTCTATGATTGCTTATATCACATGTGTTGTCACTAAATGCTTTACATATACTAGGGTTTACATGTGACCAAGGTATAAAATGCTTGTGGGACCTTAGGTGTATCTTAAACATGTTTAGAATGTCACAAAGGAACAACTTTGATATTCATTACTTGGAACAATTTGGCCTCTAAGTCATGGTTATATTGTAAGTTACCATTTTCAAGTTGTATGTTTGACCTAAGTTGAACTATAGTATAGAGTGTTTGCATGGTAGTGCACCCTTAAGCAAAGTTGTAGTACTTGACTAGAGTAACAACTTTTATTTTTGGGTCAAGAGCTAATTCAGTGTCTAACATCGTCAAATAGGTCTCACAAGAATCAACAAAATACTATTTTCAAACTTGGAAATTTCTCTAAGTCCTAAACCGATTTTCAGTTTCAAGTGATCTACTTTGAAGCTTTGCAATTCGAAAACCATGATGAATTAGATGTTACTCCCTAAAGCAAAGTTGGAGTTTATATGTAGCTCTACAACTTTTAGTAATGGAGTTTTGTTCGCTCGCCACGGATAAGGAGATAGAGGAGGATGAAATCGCGCCGTCAGTCACTGATCGCGGGTCTGAACCGGCGAACGCCGCGCCGTCAGTGGCCGATCGGCCATAGGCCACGCGTGCCGTGTGGCGGCCGTACGCCGGCGTTGGCCTGGCCGATCAGGCAGCAGCGTAGTTAAGGGTGAGGCAACGTCGCTGCTCCATTTAGTTTCCACTCTCTCACCCTCGCTTGCCTTCCCTCTCGCCCGCCAAGCCACAGCGCCACCGTCGCCACCGCCACCGTGAGTTCGCCGTGCTCGCTCGCTGCCACCGTAGCATCATTGTCCAATTGCTCGTGCCAATAGCTTCGCCTTGCTCCGCTCTACCACCTCGAACCACCATTTTAACCGCTCGAGCCCAGGTGAGGTCGCATTCCGAGTCGCCATCTCGCCATGGCCGCGGTGCGCCGCCGAGCGCGAGCTCACCGTGGCCAGCCACAACACGTGCACCTCTGCTATTTCTCTCCCTTATCTGGTCTTCACCGTAGGCCCTAGGATCTAAATCCACCGTCCCTTTTAGACGCTACCGCCTGGTTGCGTAGGAACGAGTCACCGCTCCCACGCCGGCCGCCGTGGCACTCAAGCTCGCCGTTGCCGAACTGACCCATCACCTCCATCCTCTCGCGCGCCTTAGGTTGGGTAACCATAGACCTAGCAGGTGGCATGACGGAGACCCGCCTCTCGCGAGAGCACCACCGTGCTCTGTGCGCCGTCGCAGCGGCATGCACGCGGTCGGAGTTCACCGCCGCCTCACCAGAACCCTAACCACCCTAGCTAGCTTTGTTAGGTTACCATGAAGCTGTGATGCGCCTCGTCTAAGCACACCGCGGCCGGAGAACACCGGCGTACCGCCGCGCCGCCTCCGCCGTCCGCCATTGCCGCCGGCGAGGGTGCTCCAGTACACCGCCGGTCCAATGAGGGGTACCACTGGGTGCGGGGGGAGCGCGGGGGATGCAACGGGGATGACGCGACCGCCGGAGACCTCGCCGTCGGTGAGCTATTGCCGGTCAAACGCCGTCCTCTGTTCTGTTTCGTTGACGGGTCGGTCCCGTTGACCGTGGGCCCCATCTGTCTGTTTGTTTGATTTTCTTATTTTTTCCTAGATTTGAATACCAACTTCAAAAATTCATATCTAGAGCTAGAAGTGTCCAAATTAAGTGAACCAAATTGTGATGGCTTCCTCATGAAGTGTAGTACTTGATAAAAATATGAAATGCACTGTTGCAATCCTAGGTTTAACACAGTAAGATATTCTAAAGTTTGATGACCTAAGTCTAGAAAATGTCATCAACATTTATGTTTTATAATAGATTTGATAAAAATAAATAAATTCCATAACTAAAAAATATTAGTAATTTTTGTCTAAATTGAGTTGAACTTAAAATTATTTAATTCCTATATTTTTTAGGGGAATTTAATTCCTATATGCTATTGTTTTCAACGGTGGGAATATACATTTGCTTGGTGACCCGTCAGACAGCTTAGTGCACTAAACATATAAGAGACAATTACCTGTACGTCATTATAAAAGTTCGAAATGATCTACGTGCCATTGAAATTTTGAAAAGTTCCTCAGTACCCTCGCTCGAAGTTTCTTTTACCTACGTGCCACTTTCGTTAGTTTTCCTTGTAACAGCAAGCGGAAAAGACGATTTTGCCCTCAGTTATAGAATGCATCAAAATTTTCATTCTTTCCTCAGGTGCCACTGTAACATCCTGTGATTCAAAAAAACTTCACTTTTTTCTCTGTACCATTATAAAAAAATCATGGTAACAGCTTGTACGTGTGCATGTGAAAAACTTTAATAATTATAATAAATTCGAAATGCATCTGTAACTTCCTATGATTCAAAAAACTTCACTTTTTTCTTCGAATTTATTATAATTATTAAAGTTTTTCACATGCACACGTACAAGCTGTTACCATGATTTTTTTCATAATGGTACAGAGAAAAAAGTGAAGTTGGATGCATTTCGAATTTATTATAATTATTAAAGTTTTTCACATGCACACATACAAGCTGTTATCATGATTTTTTTCATAATGGTACAGAGAAAAAAGTAAAGTTTTTTGAATCACAGGATGTTACCGTGGCAACTGAGGAAAGAATGAAAATTTTGATGCATTCTATAACTGAGGACAAAATCGTCTTTTCCGCGTGCTGTTACAAGAAAAACTAACGAAAGTGGCACGTAGATAAAAAAAACTTCGGACGAGGGTACTGAGGAACTTTTCAAAATTTCAATAGCACGTAGATCATTTCGAACTTTTATAATGGCGTACAGGTAAAAGGCCCAACATATAACTCCTGACCACTAAACAAGAGTTGTGACGCAAACGGCCCTCACTCTCCAGGTCTCACCACATCAACGCATGCCCAAATCTGCTCGAGACCCTCCTCTCCTACATCCCCTTCGTCCCAACGCCGGCGGTGGGGAGGATTGCCCACAATGGCGTCGAGGGTTCGCCTGAGCCTCCCCTACGCCGAGGCCGCGGAGCCAGAGCGGCCGCCGCCGGCCCTAACCAGCGACCTCCTCGAGGAGATCTTCCTGCGCGTCGCCTCCCCTGCGGACCTCGCCCGCGCCTCCGCCGCGTGCGTCGCCTTCCGCCTCCTCATCGCTGACCACTCCTTCCTGCGCCGGTACCGCTCCTTTCACCCGCCCCTACTCCTTGGATTAGTTAGCTCCTCTGGTTTCCAACCTGTCGAGGCGCCCCATCCCTCCACTGTTGTCGCACGTGCTGTCGCGTTTTCCTTCGACTTCCTCCCTCGCACCACCAAATTGGACCACTGGTATCTGCGTGATGTCCGCGACGGCCGCGTCCTTGTCGATTGCCATAGGGGGAGAGGCCCCATCCGGGACCTCGCGGTGTGCGACCCGTTGTCCCGACGATACCTGCTGCTGCCTCTCATAACCGATGACCAACTCGCCTCCGTCGGGCTCCACAAGAGTCTTATCCTTTCGAGGGCCTCCTTTATCCCTTCAGGAGGCATAGAGGAGGATACATCATTCAGTGTGATCAACTGGATACAATCCCAGTCAAGGCTGGGAGTATTTATCTTCTCTTCGGGTTCTGGCTGCTGGAGTGTCAGCACGTCTGTCAGTTGGGGCGATCTAGGTTTGGACCAACTTGATATGTTGGATTCAGGCCAATGTGCGTATGACTGCTTCCATTGGAAATTATACGACATGAGCACGGTGATCAAGCTCGACATGAATAGTATGCTGTTTTGCACTATTGACCTCCCGCCTGGCCATGATGAACGGGAAATCGTTGTTGTGGAGTCAGGGGGAAGCAAGGTTGCAATGTTTAGTCTTCTGATTCGTGAAGGGACGTCTGTGGATTATTATACGTTTCCGCAAAATGGCAGTGAGAAGTCCCATGAGTGGCATATGAAGATTACCATCCCCTTGCCTGACCATTATTATACTAGTGAATGCTGCATTTGTGGTCCAGTTGAAGGATACATTTTCATAGAACTCATTCCAGATGAAGAGGATCCAACATATTCAACATTTTTCTCACTTGACATTAAGTCTTTTAATGTTGAGAGGCTCGGTAGGACAAGTTATAATTTTCGTACCTATCCATATTTTGGTTTCCCACCATCTATGTCACCAAGGAGGATTGAATGATATGCAGTGGTACACTTTTTAGTGTGAGTCTTGCCTCTTGCATGCATTTCACAGACCTGTACATTTGGGCACTGGTTGTGTGAATGAGCAATTAGTAAGCACCAGCACAGGCTGCTTGCATTGTTGGTCTACATCAAGATGGCCTGTTGAGCATATTTGCCGTGAAAAAACCTGGCTCACAAGATAGACTTAAGATGAGCCAAATAAATCTTTGTTTGTTCAGGCAGTTCTTCTAATGCATGTGCCAGGACTCAGTCTTGTTCTTTGTTCAGCCTAGCTAGGGTTGGTTGCAGAAGTCAATTTGTTGGAGCTATGTCAGTTCAAACTTTTGTCATTTTTTGTAATTCCAAATGATCATAATTCTTACTGCAATCCATTTTGCTATGTTTTCAGAAGTGTCGTGATGTGCACCTTTGTTTTTCAGTACTACATTAATGCAGTTCAGTTAAACTTTGCCCTCCATGTTTTCAGAAGTTCAAACTATGCATTGGCACAGAAAGTTTGAAAAAGCGACTATTTTCGCTGCATTTGCAGTGGTGATTTTCGAAGTTGTAAATTCGTCGGTCCCATTGAATGTTGGACACATGTACGGAGTATTAAATATATAGACTAAAAAAATAACTAATTACACAGATTGCGACTAATTTACGAGACAAATTTTTTAAGCCTAATTAGTCTATGATTCGACAATGTGGTGCTACAGTAAATATATGCTGATGATGGGTTAACTAGGCTTAATAAATTCGTCTCGTAAATTAGTCTCTATCTGTGTAATTAGTTTTATAATTAACTCATGTTTAGTCCTTCTAATTAGCATCAAACATCTTATTTAATATGGACTAAAATTTAGTATGTGGAAACAAACAACGTGGACGAAGGCCTGGACTCCTGGTCAGTGGTTCTATCGGTGCATGTTGCTGGTTTGGGGTAGTGGAGCTAGGCGATGATGATGCAGTGCAGAGGCCTTTGGTGCCGCACTTTTTTCTTCTACTAGATTTCCCTCGTTGTCCTGTACGTACTCTACTGATTCTGTTGAACTTTGTAGTCCGATGTCAGATGTAGATTTAGGGCTTCTTCAACGCAGGCTACAAGAGTAAGGGCATGTTTACGTCCCTTCTAGTTTGAAAATAGACACAGTAGTAATTTTGTTTGTATTTGGTAAAAATTATCCAATTATGAACTATTTAGGCTTAAAAGATTCGTCTCGTCAATTACGGGTAAATTGTGCAATTAGTTATTCTTTTTATCTACATTTAATGTTTTATGCATGTGTCGCAAGATTCGATGTGACGAAAAATCTTAGAAAATTTTAGATTTTAGGTGGGATTTAAACGAGGCCTCTCAAAAATCAACAACGCAAGCTGCAAGTAGCCAGACAGCGTGTTTAGTGGAAGGAAAAGTTGGGATTTGGTTATGGTAGCATTTTCGTTTTTATTTGGCAATTAGTATTCAATCATAGACTAATTAGGCTCAAAATGTTCGTCTCGTGATTTCCAACCAAACTGTACAATTAATTTTTTTTTTACATTTAATGCTTTATACACATATGATAAATACTGTAGCATTTTTTTGGGAACTTTTTTCAACTAAACACGGGCTCACACTTTATTCCTGCCCAGAACGTGCGTGTCAGAAGTGGTGCGGAGGGAGGAAGCTTGGGCCATGTTTAGTTACTCTCAATTCCAGAATTTGACACTATGCAAAAAAAAGATTCTCCGTCATATCAAACTTGTGGTACATGTATGGAGTATTAAATGTTGACAAAATTAAAAACTAATTGCACAGTTTGGTTGTACTTTAAGAGACAAACGTTTTGAACCTAATTAGTCAACGACTGGACAATTATTACCAAATAAAAACAACCGAAATTTCGGCGGCGCCGATTCGGTGCGTGAACTAAACACGGCCTTGTTCCATCGCCGCAACGCGTGTTCCAGTTGCTGCCTGCGCCTTTTGTCAGATGGAGCGGTCGCATCTTCTGCAGGAGCCTCTGGCAGACTGCGAGACTACCATCGGTGAAGACGTGGACACGCGGTGCCTACGTGGTGTTTGGGGGCAGAACGTGCGTTGAGGCAGCCCTTAGGACCTCTAGCCGACTGTTATCATCACCATTCTTTGGCGACACTGAGATGCTAGAAGTGGTGAGATTTTTTTGCGGGGAGTTTCCTCCGTCACATCGTGTTCTAGTGTTAATCTGTGATAATTTAGCAATCTGGAGCAAGCGCTTTTCACTGAACCTTCTAAGCTTAGCCCTGGTTTAGTTTTACCCTAACTTCTAAAAAATTGCTACAGTACCTGTCACATCGAATGTTTGCGGCCCGTGCATGAAGCATTAAATGTAGACGAAAAGAAAAACTAATTGCACAGTTTGGTGGGAAATTGCGAGACGAACGTTTTGAGCCTAATTAGTCCATGTTTAAACACTATTTGCCAAATAAAAACGAACATGCTACAATAACCCAAAATCCAAATTTCTCTAACTAAACGAGGGCTTAATTTGGGCGGACGGTGAATGTACCTGCTATTATATCTTGTACCTTAGCGAGTCTTCAAGTGCTGCCGTGATATGAGACCGGCCATGCCTAGTTTGGTCTTTAATAATACTACCCACTCCTGGCCTGAATAAATCAATTTCTCAAGTTGTTTTAAGTTAATTTTCTTAAGTTTAATTAAATTTATAGAAAATAGCATAATTGTTTATGACGTCAAATGATCGCATTATAAAAATATATTTTATGTTGTATCTAATGGTTTCAAATTTGGTTTCATAAATCTTGGCACTCTTTTAAGACAAAATTATGTGATTTTAAGGTTTTCAGGCCTGATTTTTATCATAAACGAAGACAAATATATTTTTTTCTTAACTAAAAGACAAGAGCCCTGCCATTGTGTTAAAAGAATGTTTTTTATCAAACAAAATGCTTTGGAAAGTGCTTCACCCGTAAATAAAAATTGTAATCACCCAAGGAACTTATTAGGTGATATGTTGGGTCATAGTATTTGGGAATGAACTTGACAGAGTTGCACATCCCGTGTTGCCTCTATTCTTTTATCTTTTAGTATGAAGTATGAACTCAAAACTTCCTGCCACTTTACCTAGCTAAGAGCATCTCCACCCGTCTCTCAATAATCTATCCCTAATATGTATATATTGGAGCAGCCCGATATTATTTTTGTGAATATTAGAGAGTTACTATAGCAGTAACCTAATACATCTTCTCCAATATCAATATGAAAGGTGGGTTGTGCGTATGTGTAGGGAAAAGATGGCTGAAAAGTAAAAGTTAGGGTAGAGCCCATGTTTTTTTTGGGGGGGGGGGATGCAGCTCGCCCTATATTTAAAGAAAGATGAGTAAAATATTGCTGTCCCCTAAAAAAAGAGGAGTATTGAAAGACTGCTAGAACAAGAAAAGAAACATGATTACTCTCAATATGCCAATTTTATGAGGATAGGGAGAGAGATTGTAGGACTGCAGAAGATGCTCTGATTCTTTGTCTAGGCTCGGTCTTTTTTTTATACTTATTCTAAACTCTCTCTCCTTTATTTTTATTTTTTTACTCGGAAAGCTTGTTTCCATTAGACTTTGGCTCCAGGCAAATCGTAAAAGACTAAATCTATATCTATACTTAATAATAAAGAGGTAAAATTTCTCTCCACCTATTTTTTGGTCCAGCCATCCTTTAACTAACTTTGTGAATGTGAAAAACCGCATATAGCCCTTCTCTTTATATAACTAGGAATCATAATCTAATTAGATCTCTCCGATTTCAGGTGAATAAAAATCTTAATCCAAATAATAAAAATATAATAATCACTACTACATAAAAACTTTTGCGCAGTGATTCCAAATGGGGCTTCGAGGCGGGCGGCCTGGTTGCCCGCCTCGGTTATTCAAGGCAGGGAGCCGGGTTACCAACCGCCTCGGTTAATCCTTAACCGAGGCGGGCACTGTAATATAACCGCTTCGGTTAATGCTTATTAATCGAAGAGGTCGCCTTAAAATAACCGCCTCGATTAATATATTAACCGAGGCGGTCGCCTTAAAATAACCGTCTTGGTTACTAAATATTAACCGAGACGGACGAAAAAGGCTACCTGCCTCGGTAAATCATTTATGAAGGCGGTTATTTATAATGTGTCCGCCTCCATAAAACGCGCCCATGCCGCCTTGGCACCCGCGCGGGATTTTGCATCCGCCAAAGACCTAGATCGCTGACGTGGAAGTCTGGACGGTCCAATCGAAGCCCAAGAGAATCCATCTCAACTGTCCAATCTGTTTGTGCTTCTTCACTGAGAGATATCTCCCTCCTCTCTATCTCGCACGTCCCTCTCTCTCTCATACGCTGCACGCGTGCTCTCTCTCGCGTGCGTACGTTGCATGCTCTCTCTCGCTCACGTACGCAACACCCCTTCTCCCTCAACTCTGGTCGGCCCTCCACCTCTGGCCGGCCCCCAACACCTCCACCACCCGCAAGCCCCCTCCACCTCTAGCGCAGCGACGCCCTCCACCTCCACACGACGTCGGCTGCTCGGCCCCTGCGGTGGCTCGTGTGGGCGCGGCGAGCGGGGCTCGGCACCGACGGCAGCGGCTCGGCCCCAACGGTGGTCGTAAGGGCGCGGTGAGCGGAGTCCCGGCCCCGCGGCGGCTCACGAGGGCGCGGCCAGCGGAGTCCCGGCCCCGGCGGCGGCTCACGAGGGGGCGGCGAGCGGGGGTCTTGCCCCAGCGGTGGCTCGCGAGGCCTCAGCGAGCGGTGCGGTAGCTCGGCCCCAGCAGTGGCTCTTCTCGGCGCCAGCAGATCTGGCGAGCGACGACCACGATGCCTCGATGGGCGAGGGCGGAGCCCTAGCTGCGCTTCTAGGTGCCAGCAGATCCGGTGAGCAGCGGCGCGGGGCATCGATTGGCTCGGTGGGCCTCATGGATGGGATCGCCGGGCTCGTCGATGGGTTTTTTATTTTTTTAATCTTTTAATAGAGGCGAACCGCTTAGGGTGACCGCCTCCATTATTGGGTATTAACCGAGGCGGTTATCTTATGCCGACCACCTCGGTTAATCTAATAACCGAGGCAGTTGAACCAACCGCCTCGGTTAAGGTCATAATTAACTGTGACCTTTCGACTGAGGTGGTTGGAAAAACCATCTCGGTTAATGCTTTTTGCCACCACGGTTAAGATTGTTGTAGCAGTGAATATGGACAACTAGAAATCTTAATCCAATTAGATCTCTGCAACTCCGAGTAACCAGAATAGGAATCTTAATCCAAATATAAAAATATAAGAATAGAAATCTAATAAAGAAAAAAGAAGGGTAGAATTTCTTTGTTTCACTTGGTTTCGAATATGTTCAGATTTTTTTTCATGGCTATTTTCTAGAGTACATTCTAATTTTTGTCATGACTATTTTCTACTTGGCTTCGAGCATGCTTAGTTTTTTTTCTCATGGATGTTTTTGACATTGGCTCAACTTTTCTGATTTTATTTTCATATTTTCTCCACCTGGTTTTTTCTTGTTCTAATAAATATATAATAAGAGGGAAAACAAAAATAAATAATAGATCACATCCATTTTAATCTTGGGACAATTGTCTATTGGACATTCAAAGTGATGGTTTTTTGCTGGCGGACACTCACTTTGGAGCATTTTATCAGAGGACACTCTGGTTCGGTGAAATTAGGCCACAGGACACCGCGAACCGGTTGCAGCCGATTGAGGAGAAAGAACAACGATAAAATGGCATTCTTGCCCCTGCCACTTTCTTCTTCTTCTCTCCCTTTCTCTTTTTTCTAGTTTCCTGTCCCCGCCACCCTCTCCGCCTCCGACGCCCGCCGTCGCGCATCATGAGCAGACCGGCCGAGCAAGGCTGGGGCCGCCGAGCGGGGTGGGCGCAGGCACGCGTGCGAGCAGACCTCCAAGTGAGCTGCCACGGCTACGCGGCCCAGCGCGCGAGCAGACCTCCAGAGTGGCGGTGCGTGAGGGCGGCGGCGCGTGGCGGGCATGGTCGGCGCGAGCGGGCGCTGTCGAGCGAGACGGGTGTGGCCGGCGTGGCCGAGCGGAGCGGGTGCAGGCAGTCGAGCGCGGCGCCCCTAGAAACCGACGTTGCGGGAGCCGGCGCGGAGACGGTGGAGCTGCTGCTACTGATGCGGCGCAACAACTTTCGGCACTACGTGATGGTCCTTTGCTGCAGCAGGCGGCTGTGGTAGGTAAGTCACATTGCAATATGTACAATACCCGATCTACTTTTAAAGCATCTAGATGAAACATTTGCAACATGCGTCTGAAAGACAAATGAAACACTTGAGACATGCGTCTGAAACACTTGCAAGAACACCTGAAAACACTTGAGAAGCCAATGCAAAATATATGCAACAATCCAGATAAAACACTTGCAACATGTGTGAAACATATACAATATCTAAATAAAAACACTTGCAATATATGTCTGAAAAAACAGATGAAACATTTAAAACAGACGCTTGCAACGTATGTTTGCAACATATGCAATATATCGATCTACTTTTGCAACATCCATATGAAACACGTGCAACATACCTCTGAAACAATTAAAACATACGTTTGCAACATAGGGGGGAGACTGGGGCCGGTCGATTCTGGCCGTCAAGGTGGGGGCCGGCGGCGAGCGGTGGCACGCGAGCACCACCAGTACCGGTCACGCTCGTGGGTCCCCCTTGGCTCGGTCGGGGACAACCTGAGGCTCCCGGCACGTGCGTCCAGCCGCCATCGGTGGGGGCCCGCGGCGGCGAGCCATCCCGACGGCGCTGGGTTGGGAAAGAGGTCGGGAAGGCGCTACGCAAACTGAGGGACGAGGCGGCGTGGTCAGCTTGGGTGGAGGAACGGAGACAGCGATGGCGGCGCGGAGATTTTTTTTTAACAGAAGCGAACGAAGCAGAGTGGGAAGCCGCGTCCCAAACTCCCAACAGACGCGGGTGGACAGACGCCCATGTCAAAGTATTTCGGAACTAAAAAGGGCAGCAATGACTTCACCTTGTAGTGGGTTGGCTGTTTGCATCTACATCCTCCTTCCAGAAAGGTGCACGCACTATCCCTTGCCACAAAACCCTATTCTCCTCGTCCAGTGGCCTCTGTGAACGCAACATCGATATTGATTTTATATATGTCCTCTGGTGGAGCTTCCCATTTTTCAATTCGAGCCTGCTCTGTCTCTCCGGATTGCTTCCTCAATTTTTCAGAATCCTTGATGTAATAATATAGGTCACAAGTGAACAAATTTCTCAAGTGTGTTGGCCTTCTTTTCCTTGGCATTGATCTTGTTTCTCCTTTATATTAAACATATTAAATTAAATATACAAAGCTGGAGAGGTCCTGCTAGCAATTTTCGGAAAAAAGAAGAAGTATGAACTCAGAAATCGGCTTGGATAAGGATGGGCCCGGCCCATGAACATAGGCTTTCACGAGCCATGGCATTCCATCCATTCTACAGTATTTCTCCGTGACTCCATCCATTCTTCAGTTCGCCACTCTACAGGCTCTTGTCCAGGCGTACCCAAATCTTCCACTCCCTACCCAAACACGCCCGAAACCCTCGATCCCTTTCGAGACTTTTGCTGTGTGCTATTATAAAAGATCGTAATTCTCTCTGTGTCTCTGGAAAAATTCAGCGGTCTTCAGCGCCACTACTTCAACTCTTTTGGGTCCTCCATGCCACTTCCGTCAGTTCAGGCTCTAATGCCGTCAAACTACAGGTGTGAAAAGACGAAAATGCCCTTAAGTTTAAATATGTTATTAATTTTTTTTGAGCATCTTAACGACTTCAAATGAAAAAACTCAAAACTAGAAAGTTGTAGATCTCGTCGAGATCTATAATTTTCATATAAAAATTATTTTCATTTAATTCCGCAAAAAAAATATGATGATTTTTCTAAGATATATTAATCATATCAAATTATATTTTTTTTGCGAAATTAAATGAAAATAATTTTTATATGAAAATTATAGATCTCGACGAGATCTACAACTTTCTAGTTTTGATTTTTTTCATTTGAAGTCGTTAAGATGCTCAAAAAAAATTAATAACATATTTGAACTTAAGGGCATTTTTGTCTTTTCACACCTGCACTTTAACGACGGAAGACGGAAGTGGCATGGAGGACCCGAAAAAATTGGAGTAGTGACGCTGAAGACCGCTAAATTTTCCCAGGGCACACAGGGGATTACGATCTTTTATAATGGGGAAAAAGTCTCATCCCTTTCCTCCCTTCCGCCGGCGGCGGGAGGCACGTCGGCCATGGCGTCGCGTGCTCACCCGGCCCTCCCCAGCCTCGATGCCATGGAGCCGGAGCGGCCGCCGCCGTCCCTCATGAGCGAGCTCCTCGAGGAGATCTTCCTGCGCGTCGCCTCCCCTGCGGTCCTCGCCCGCGCCTCCGCCGCGTGCGTCTCGTTCCGCCGCCTCATCGCTGACCACTCCTTCCTCCGCCGGTACCGCTCCATTCACCCGCCCCTACTCCTTGGCTTAGTCCACCGCTCTGGTTTCCAACCTGTTGAGGCGCCCCATCCCTCCGCTGCTGTCGCCCGTGCTGTCGCGTTTTCCTTCGACTACCTCCGTCGCACCAACAAATGCCGCCGCTGGTATCCGATCGATGTCCGCGACGGCCGCGTCCTCGTCGAGTGCCCTAGGGAGAAAGGCCTCGTCCGGGACCTCGCGGTGTGTGACCCGTTGTCCCAGCGATACCTGCTGCTGCCTCTCATAACCGACGACCTACTCGCTTCCATCGGGCTTGACAGTAGTCTCTTCCATTTCGGAGCCTCCTTTATCCCTTCAGGAGGCATAGAGGAGGATACATCATTCGGTGTGATCAGCTGGATACAATCCAAGTCAAGGCTGGGGGTATTTATCTTCTCTTCGGGCTCTGGCTGCTGGAGTGTCAGCACGTCTATCAGTTGGGGCGATCTAGGTTTTGACCAAATTAATATGTTGAATTTAGGTCAATGTGCGTATGATTGCTTCTATTGGAAATTGTACGACATGAGCACGGTGATCAAGCTCGACATGAATAGTATGCAGTTTTCCACTATTGACCTCCCGCCTGGCCACGACGAACGGGAAATCATCATTGTGGAATCAGAGGAAAGCAAGGTTGCAATGTTTAGTCTTCTGATTTATGATGGCACATCTGTGGATTATTATACATTTCCGCAAAATGGCAGTGAGAAGTCCCATGAGTGGCATATGAAGAGTACCATCCCCTTGCCTGACCATTGTACTAGTGAGTGCTACATTTATGGTCCAGCTGAAGGATACATTTTCATAGAATGCGTTCGGGATGAAGAGGATACAACATATTCAGCGTTTTTCTCACTTGAGATGAAGTCTTTTAATATTGAGAGGGTCGGTAGGACAAGTTTTCCTGCTGGCACCTATCCATATTTTGGTTTCCCACCATCTATGTCACCAAGGAGGATTTAATGATATGGAGAGGTAAGTTTTTTTCCATAAGTCTTGACTTTTGTGGTTCACAGACTTTAAATTATTCTCATGTGACTGTGATGCTGGAATAGCTTTATGTTCGTACAGCAGTGATTGTGGGTTCATCCAAGTCTTAAATCTTTATGGTCACCACATAGCGTACCAGCTATTGGACAATTTGCTTAAGTTAGAGACTTGCAGTCTGTTCATAGTAGCATGATTTTTCTTCTGCTGGCTAGTATTCTTTGTTGTACTCTGAAAACCATTTTTCATGGAGCGTCCCACAGTATATTCAACAAATCATGAATGAAATAGAAAAGATGAGCACTAATTTATTGACAAACTTTTGCACGATTGTTTCAAATTTAGAAGGGTTTGTATCCCAGTGAGGCTGTGACATTGTTGACATGTGTTTAGCCTGGGTACCGTTTTAGTGTTTATTGATTTCAGTTTCGATAATGTGGACCTTATATCTGTTCACCTTGTTGTACTTCGTGGTTTCAAGTGTTTGCACATGTGATTGTGACGAGCTCACTTGGTTGCAATTTAAAGTCACTAAAATTATATTATGGTTCCTTAGAGCAACTGAGCTGAGTGGTGGTACCATAGTAATGTTTCCCAAACAACATTGTCAGTGCACAAAAAAGATGGCCTATTGAATATGTTTGCTGTAAAATACTCGTTTCTTATTCTAAGCTCAGATACACAAACCTTTTGGTTATTTTGGATTTCAGCCTATTCTTCTATTGGGATTGCAATCTCAGATGCAGTTCCTTGTTCAATCAAGCGAGGGTTGGTTGCACAAGTGAATTTGTTTGGGAGCTACACTATTTCAACTATGTCATCTTTTTGTAACTGCAAACTGAAAATGATGATGTGTATTTGTGTGTTTTCTACATTAGTGCTTACTGCAATAAGATTGTCACCTCTCGGATAAAAAAACATGGTAGTTTTATGCATCTTTTCCTTCTGAGCCATTGACATTGAACTGAACTGAACTATGAACAGCCCACCCTTCAAATTATGCCTTGGCACTGTAACTGTGGAAAACACTTCTAACTGCATCTTTTCGGTTGCAGGACTAGTGCTCATCCGGCCATCTGGGTTGGGGGCACTTTGGCGACTCACTGCTGTTTCGGAGCATTGGAGCAAATGCGTCCTGATGTATTTCACTCTCTGTTGTACAGTCCTAGTAGGTGCTTTCGGTTGCCGTGGACTCTATTGATGTCTGACGAATGCTGTTTCGGTTGCCCTGTTCACTTGTCTTATAATCCGTAATTTTCAGCTTGTTTTTTCAACCGGAACAGTGTTTTTCTCTAAAAAAAATCAGCTGGAATAGTGTTTCAGCCGAAATAGTGTTTCGGCTTGTTTTTTCAGCGAAGCGGACGGGGCCAAATTAGTTGCCAAGTGGCCGATGTATTTGTTAGATGCTGCTGGTCTAAGTAGCATTATGATGTAGGAGTAAGAAGGAAGACATCATAGACATGTGGTCTCCTATATTTAAGCGTTCGATATATTGTAACTGAACCTTTTGCCTTTGGATGTCTTCAATTGTATCTAGCCATCTAGGAGTGGGGAATTACACCATGTGAAAGTGAGGAACTGCGGCGTGATATGGCACTGCGTAACGCGACGCCGTCGTGCCATGTTTGCGGATGAAGTTGGACAGAGTTGAACACTTTTCATCACGATATAAGGGTGTCCGGAACCGGAAACACTGACAACACTTTGCGTGCCCTGTTGGTCCTGTTCCTCTGCAACTTGATTATGCGTTTGAGACTTTGAGACTCTACGTGGAGTATCAAGTCTCGATCTCTCTTTTCGCTGGGCTGGGTGTTATACACAGGGGCTTTCTGGGCTGGGCCTAGGCAGTCGCGACCGGTGCACCGATTTAGAGTTGATCCTGGTCTGTAGAAAGCACACAAATCTGTACACTTTTGTATGGCTATGTAAACGTCTTATTACGCCTTTTTGATCCTTGGAATTGAATTTATTTTAATAATTATAATTTAGACACATATTAATTAAGCTAATATGGTTGTATATGGATTATATTTGTATATTATTGTTGGCTATACGAGAGAGATACTTATGTGTTGTATTTCTATCATAGGGGAGTGAGTTAAAGAGCGTGTTATAAGTTGCAAAGTACAAATATAGAATGATGATCTATAGAATTAATTTCCATCTCCTGTCCTATGAATTTAAGATAGACTTATATGTGAAATTTGAAAAGTGATAGAATGTCAAATTCCAAATCAAATAGCTTAATTTATTAAGTAGATCTCAATTCCTCCAAATGAAAGGATCCAAACGGCCCTTAGTGTATCCAACACTTAATTTTCAAAAGTCTAAATGTTAATTATGTTAAAACGTGTAAGTTTTCAACAGAAAGTAGTTGTGCAGGTGCTGAGCCAGCATAACTATATATATGCATAAATAATAAACCACCCGCACGCACCCTATGCCATTTTTGTTTGAACTTAAAAAAGGTATGGCGTCGAGAGCATTACGAGAGTGACTAGACGGGGAAGATCATCATGCCTCGCACACACGTTTCGCCCAGTCTGCTAATCTTTTTTTAATCACACTATAGACAAAGACACTTGCATATGCACATACACTCACCCCTATGACTATCCATTTAGGAGTACATCAGAAACACTAAGCCCTACTCTATGGGCATCTTCGAAAAACAGAGTCGACATATTTCAAAACGGGTGAAGTGACCATATATAGACAATCAATAGTCTTGTCTAGAAAGAGGGTTTCATGATTATTCGTTCGTCGATTTGACAAAGTCAAAATAGACAGCTCACCAGCGAGAAGAAAATGCAAGCACCTGCATGTCGAGGACTTAAATATAGGTGGACATGTTCCACCACAATGAACATATAATCGGCTGAGATACACTTAGTTTGCATGCCCATCTCATAATCGACTACGCAGAATACAATAGCACCATGTGTTTTGGTCCATGGATTTTTTAAGCTATTTATTTTTAGGACCAAACAATCCTCAATCTGGAATTGAAGATATGTTGAGAACATTTTGATGATTCCTTCGCTTATAGTTTGGACTAAATACAACTGTTTAAACCAATGAAGATATGTGACTATAGCTGGCTAGCCATAGTTTAAAATAGCGGGCTATTGAAAATAGCAGCACATTTTTTTCAGCAGTTATTAAGCTATAGCGGCGCTACGAGTATTTTTGTGGTGGAATTAATGCAAGAAACATGGCAAATATAAATTCGATGAATACAAATATGTTTTTAAGGTTCCATAGGTCTTACATTACCAATATGATATATTACAACATGGTTTATGAAACTCCAGAGTCCAAAATACCAAATTAGGTCCAGTTTAGTTTGCAAAAAATTTTGCAAATTTTTTCACATTCCCCGTCACATCGAATCTTTGGACGCATGCATGAAGCATTAAATATAAATAAAAAATAAAACTAATTACACAGTTTAGACGAAATCCACGAGACGAATCTTTTAAGCCTAATTAGACTATAATTGGACACTATTTGCCAAATAACAACGAAAACGCTACGGTTTTCATTTTGCAAAAATTTTTGCATCTAAACAAGCCCTTAGTACTACCTCCGTCTCCAAAAGAATAGCACAGTGTTATGTTTTAGTACCTTAAGTTTGATCAATTATACGTAAAAAAATATCCATGTTTATGATACTAAATAAATACCATCAGATTAATTACGAAATATATTTTCATAATAAATTAATTTAAAGACATAACTATAAATATTAATCACTAAAAATTTGATCAAACATGAATCATTTTTCGTGACACGCAACCCATAGTTGCATTCTTTTTAGAACAGGGTAGTAGCAAATAAGTACTCCCTCCAGGTTTCAAAAACATGTCGTTTTGGACATCATCTCCAATAGCAAGGAGTGTTTTAATTAGGGTGCCTATTTCTTGCTTTGCCCATATTAACTCGTTAGTACTTAGAAACAAAATTACCTCTCCGCTCAGGTGGTAAAGCCGTAAAGGGCACTAGGTTTCAAGCTAGTGAGCTGAGTTCAACCCCAAGCAACCAGTATTTTTGCTGCGCGATTTTGTAAAAATTTTCGATAAAACGTACAGCCAGCCGCGCATATGAAATTTTCACAGTCGCGCGCTGTAGCAAAGCACCAGGCGAATCTGGAGTCTGATTGCCGCGCCATTTTTTTTCGGCCGCTAGGAGCATTAGCCTGTGGCGGGGTGCTTATATATTTATACAACACCACAACTGCGCCGATCATGTTGTCCAACTGCGCGAGCTGACCTCGTTGCCTATGACTCTGAGGACGACGATGATCAAGTCGAAAACTTAATTCCGGATGGTAACCAGAGTACTCGGATGTGTTCCCATTTTGCCATCCATATGCAAAATCATCTCCATCATCCATAATGAGCAACCACGAAGACACATTTTTATTTTGAACTTGCAAGAAGAGGTATGGAGTATATACGAGCGAGTGTATACGTATAGAATACAGATCATATAGCATCAGTTTGATTTGATCTACGGACACGGACGCGCATGTCTCATTGAGATATCCTCAACAATTACCTGGATGTCGGTGGCTGGCTTGGTGCACGTTCTGCGCGTCGTCGACGAAGAAATAATTAAATTAAACAACGGGATCACGCTTGGAACGAGGGTATCATTTACAATTTATATGGTTATTATATAGTGGTTTTGTATTCTGGAAGAGGCTACAAAAGGCGAGCGGAGACGCAGCAATTGAGGGATCAGTTCAGAGCCAGCCAGCCATTTCAATCACACTTCACTCTATCAATCGCATAAGCCACTCACAGGCTAGAACACCACCGCACCACCCACGCCCACACTGATTCAAGCTGTGAATGGCGCCCAGGCCCTGGTCGACGACGAAGCTGGCGGCCTCACCCTCGGCGGCGGAGGCGGGTCTGATGATTCTGCATCTGCTGGCGGCAGCCTTGATCGCCAGCAGCCTCGCGCTGCTCCTGCCAGCCAGCAGGGCAGCCGAGCTAGATACTGCTCCTGCTGCAGACGACCTTGTACCTCCCGAGGCTGCATTTCTCTCCCAGGTCGACAAGATATGTGCTTACGATTCCGAGTCCGAGCTGAGGGATTGCGCACGTCCAGTGGCACCTGCGGCTGTCGGGGGCGCCGGTGTCGTTGACCGACTCTGCTGCGCACGTCTGCAGAATGCTGTTTTTTCTACGGATGGCAATTCTAGGCGTTGCGCGTGTGGATTCGTGGCCCAAGCTGCTGCGAAGCTGGGATTCAACGTCAGCAGTGAATGCATCGCAGGGGCTGACACCCCGGTCTTTGGAGGAAATACGATGGAAGAAGTCTGCCCAGATGAGAGTGAGACGGAGAACTGATGGAGCAATGTCCATCATCAGGGGTCAGCTGCATGCAATCGGCCGCCAGAAAGCTTAGGATGCATATATATGCAACAACGGTCCGCCAGTCTATACACTCTCCATCACCAGGGGGCTTATTTCGTCGTCACTGCTAGTATTTCGTTCATGTTTAAATAACTAGCAAAGTAGCAAGTTTTTTTTTTCTTTTCCTTTTTTTTTTGCTAGTAGCAAAGTAGCAAGTTGGTCTCTGCAAATAGTGCTATTCTAGTTTGCTTATTGTAGTATTTAGATTTTTTTTTGGGATATACACATTTTTAATGTTTTATTTATTTATTTATTTGATTATAATTATATTGTTTTATCTTGGTGTGCCTCTACTCTATCTACTGTCATGAACTCCACCTAGAGTTATTGTCATATTTCTTGTCTCTTCCTTATTTTTTTCTATTACTATCTTATGACTGTGCAATTTTAGCTAAGGACAAATCAAAGAAGCCTTCAGCCTCATCTTGATGGGCTCTATTACCGATAAAACCACTTACCAAGTATTTATCTAGTTCCTTATTAGCTCTCTTATATATAGATTTAAATTCGAGATGGTCTTACTTCTTCTATTATAGTTCCGTAGTTTCTTTTTTCCTATAGTATGGCTTGATTTATCACAAGGCTTTTGATGTCTTAGAGCCATCCACTAGGAGTCTATCGCCACCTTTTAGTTCCATGTAATCATGAGTTACCTCAACAGACAATTTATATAGTGAGTTGTTTTCTTGATTTAAACTTGAGATGCACACAGGTCAGGCAAAGTAACAAAATTGGAATGACTTATAATTTGAAATGGAGGGAGTATAAAATATCAAAGTTTATCATAAGTCTAAACTATTATAAGCTTGAGTAAATTTATAAAAAAAATAACTATAATATTTAAGACATCAAGTTATCAGCAATAACATTATCAAATGTAGTTTCATAATTTAGCTCTTTCATGTGATAGATATTAATCAAACTTAGGATAGTTTGAATTGGAAGAAACTTCGATCACTCATATTTCAGAACAACGAAGTATATGTTTTTCAAATATGTGAAAGCTCAAATGTTATAAAAAATGCAAATAACATCGAATGCTATTATGAACAATAATACAGGTTTAACTGAACGATGTGGATTGTTGTAGCGCAACAAGCCAAAATCAAAAGATGGCTCTCGCAGGATGTTCTAAAATTTCAGGAGAATGAACTTTCATAAAAACCTGTGGAACAATTGCAAACATGTAACATCCATATGCACACAGGTCAGGCAATGTTGTCAAGTAGAAGAATAAACAGAATAACAAAAAAAAAGGAGGTTTGCCAAAGTTACAATTCAAATTTACATAAATGAATCAACAAGCCCATGGACACTTTATTACATCGAGCATGGTATGGCTCTGATTATTTATTATACATCGGTTTCAAAAATCAAATAACAATACGATATACTGGACAAGAATTTCAAGGTTTTTTGTTCTCAACGGCCATTCTGAAAAAATGGCCAGGGGTTCTCTGGATCTAAATACAAAAGACTCGGTTTCTCTCAAGCCTGCAGGAAACTGGCATACTTTGCGCCAAGGAAGAGCCTCTGCACACAGAGCAGCGCATTTTTCCTCACTTCAGTGTTCTCATGATTCATGAGCTTCATGACTCGGTCCTTGGCCTTGAGGTCTGCCACCACGATTCGGCCAGATGGATGGTACTGGAGGAACTGTGAGAGGTCGTAGCAGGCCACGGCAAGAGCGGTTGTGTCACTTGATGTGTCAATGATTGTCATGAGAACTCGTAGAATCTGCCAAGTTATAGGTGCAATTTCATCACAACCACAGAGCCGAATGCTTACGAGCCTATCTAATCTAGATTGAATTGTCCAGAATAGCTTAGCTATGAATTTGACTGTTGAACTACTTAGTCCAATTGTGCAACAAGTTTATTCAAACATTTTCATTCAAGAAAGGACAAGGCATACCTGGAAATCATTTTCTTCAAAATTGTTAATGTTCTCACGCCAGAAACTTGGATCTTTGTGCATTGGAGACCAGTCAAGATGACCAAGAAGAACTTGCTGTTTGTACTTATCAAAGGAACTCAACTTCTTGAGGTTTTCTTTGAGTCCCACCTCTAATTGATTCAGAGCCTCTAACAGATCCTGGGTGCATAAATAATAGGAAATTGCTGTTAGCACAAAAAGGTGCAAAAACATACAAGCTCAACCTGAGCACGTAATAGACTAGATACATTCATATTTTTTTCTCAAACGCGCAAGAGCTGTGCAACACTACATTAAAGGAGATATAGTCACATTTATTTATGCTTGCATGAAAATTCACGAGTCCCAATTTTGAAGCAGCAAATACAGGAACCTCCAACATATCTTGCAGATAAAAATGATTCTTGTGCTTCAAAATGCCTGATTAACTAACTCTTTGTAATGTTACCAAGCAAACTTCTGCTGTTCAATTACCAGGGTTTCCATGGGCATATGGGAGACCAGATCACACAAAAAGGTTCAGCAAACAAAGAAACTACAAGACTACAAGAGGGCTCACTATGTCATTACAATTCCACTTCTATATTTCAGGTGCCTGTATTTTTGTTGTTCAGGCGACATGTAATTTTGTCATGGTTTGACTAGAAAAAAACTGTGACTTGTCTCTTGTGAGTTGTCCTTTTAATTGTACTAATTGGTTGTCTAAGATTGTTGCCTGAAAATTCAGGCACTTGAAATATAGCAACTCCATATATTTTAGCAAATTGTGTCATTTTTCCTTAGACACTTGAAAACCCAGGTTTAAGCGATATCTTCACCTAACCCTATCTACAAGGAAAAAAAATAGGACACTAAACTAAAAATCCTAGGTAAACTGCAACCTTTTTTTTACTTACTGAACAGTAAATAGCAAATATTTCAGACAGGTTGGTTTTCAAGAAAGCATATGCTTGCCATTTTGCGATTCCTACATTTACTTCAATCGAAACAATGGTTCAGATATAAAGATTCCAACATTCGATGCATATTTTCCTGTGGAATATTAAAAAAAAAAACCAAAGGTTTGGAAAGCTCCTCACCTCATCAGTCCATGCTTGAGCTTTCAAGTTTTGTACTATTTGTGGCAATCCAAGATCGATCATCTGGGCAGCAAATGTACCCTTTGCCAGCAAATTACGGAAGGACAACACAACAACTCTGACCACCTTCAATTTTATGCATAATGTTAACATTTCTGACGTAATTACAGTGACATAATATGACATGCAAATTTAGAACATTACCTTCTCTTTAGTAGAGCCCTTGACAACCTCTACAAGTCTTGGCATAACCCTTGTGGTGGACAAATAATCAACTGCAGCATCATAAAAGGATAAAAGCCAGATGCAGAGGCAAGTTTCATAAAGGAGCTGCACAAGAAATAACAAAAAGGAAAACAGATGGGGAAGTTAGTTCTAGAGTTGAAAGATGAAACAGTTTATGCCTGTTATCTGCAAAATCAAACAGCTAAGACCTAATGAGACACTCTACTCCAAGATATTTCCATTCTAGATGCTTAGGGCCAAGCAATCACCTGAATTGACTGTTGTGTGGAAGCTGGGGATATCAAAGGAATGAGCAGCTTGATGCCATCAGCTTGAACAAATAATGTCCTAACATATGGTTCTCTCAGCAAAGTGGAGAGGCAATGGATAGAAGTAGGAATAGAGCAGCTCGGGTGTGTAGGATTCCTCAGCTGCAAAACATATCATAATAAAATTCAGAACGCATAAATGGTAGTTTCATAGCATATAAAAAACAAAAAGTGGTAATGAACTAAAAAGACCATTCACATTTCTAACCTGTTAACAGAGCCATTCAACCAAACCTCTCAATACATCATGTGCTGAAGTAAGTTTGCTCTTTGAATTTGAAGCATCTCCATTTGGAAGCGTGCCATTCTGAAGCTTTGGTCGTGCACTATAGTCAAAGTAAAGTAAGATCTACAAATAATTTTACATGATGAGCATTTGAATACTAGCCAAACTTACCTAATTATATCAGTCAATATCTTACAACTTTTTTCTTGTACAAACCAGTTGCCTTTCCACAACAACCTGAAAATTATAATTTTGTTAGCTAAATTTGGTAGTAAGAGAACAAGATAAACAGGCCTAGCATGGTGTGCACGAACTCTTTCTAGCATGAGGGTATTCCCGAAACAAAACAGGCTAAGGTACAGAAGGTGACTTCTAATTACAAAGTCTTGTCATCAGGATGCGGAATGGGCAATATATGTCAATATATTTGCTGGACAACGAAATAAGCAGATTCCTTAAATTAATAAGATAAAAATAAAAGAATTAAACAAGCATAGTACACTTAACTTAAGAAAGGCTCATAAATATCTTCACCGAACAGAGATTGGTCATAAAACAGTGCTGCACGCTTAAGATTTGCTGAAAACAAAGGTATCACCAATGTAACATAAATAAGTGATAATCTAATGGTTTAATGATGGAAGTGAATAGTTTTCATCTGAAAGAAAAAAAAGGCTGGCATACTTGCAAGCATTTCATCAATGAGGGCAAGCACGTATTCCACAGTCTCTTCCTTGGAGATGCTCCGCAGGATATTCAGGAAAACTCGGACATACGCTGGCCCATCCTAAAAGAACAGAGTTTTAAGGATCTTTGTGTTATACTGTTATATAAAACTAGTTGAGTAACCAAACATGTAATAGAGATTTGCACAAATAGATAAACAAGGTAAAAGTAAATTCAAGTAAATATAATATAAACTTTTTTGAAGGGCAAGTACAAGGCAATACAGGCAGTAAGAGTTATTTGTGGGCAAAAGAGGAAAAGGGAAATTAGTCAACTAGAACCTGTTACAGTAAACCTATGCAAGGTTGAGTACACACCCTATTAATGCACTGAATCAATTCAGATATTGATAAAAAAAAGAGTGCATTACAAATATGCATATCTGATAACCTCTTGTAAGCTAAAAACATGATCTTGAAACACCAAAAAACGTAAGGATAAGATAGTTCACTAAAGAGTGAGAAAACAGGAAGAAACCAGAAAAATTGTGATGCAAAGATGAAGACATCAATCATAACAAGATAGTAGCAAATCTGAAAGATGGAAAAAGAAGGCAGTGATACAATGGCCTTTAATCATTTTTATCCACACAAATAATTTAGGTTGAGAAAGCAACTCACCTCCTCAAGCAAAGGAGCTCGCTGACTCTCTGGTTTGTGGTCATATCGCCTTAAAAGCTGAAGGCACGTTCCGGAGATAAGCTTAGTTGACATGTAATGCTCCCATGGAATATCTCGCTTGAGAACCTTAATATACAAAACCACAATACAAAAATTAATTAAAAAGAATTATACTTTTCCTTCCTGCTAACATAATGCAACAAAAAATTCCACAATCCACTGATGCTTGCAACATTTTTATGAAAAGCATCCTAGCTTAGAAAGAAGGCATGCTAACGTATGAAAACTAGTATGCCAGTGCTAGAAAAGTGTAATTTTCCATACACTCAGTCAGCAAAAACGGACAGTCTCAGTAATTCAGCACCTAGTATCAAAATTAGCAAGGCATTTGATTTATAAATTCGCGACAAACTTGCTAAATGTTGATGGTATCAGGCACTCAGTTCATAATATTAGAACCTATAAAGCATATGATGTCAGGTAACATATCAAGAGTTTCTAATTGGTTGGAAGTTAGAACATATATCCATCTCTGGACATGGATGGAAGGAAGATTTGCCCCAAGAAATATAAACATAATGCGATGCAATCATCTGCAATTTCCAGTAGTTATTTCTAACTCTTCCCGCCAAAATTAAAACTTTATCTGCTAACTGATACAAATATAAATGCAGCAGTAGCAGTCATCAGCTTTATGTAAGCAGGTAAACAAGAACAGGATAGCCTAAGATATTTGCATGGACTGATTCACTAGCATGATAGTGTATTAAGCCCGGAGTGTATGCATCCATCATTTTAACACAGCGAAAGGGTGGCTATGTCTCAGGTCGTGGCCCCATCGATAGAGAAACAGCAAACCACTTTTTTTTGCATAACAAAAATCCCATTCCATGATAATCACCGCAGTTTCAGTCGCGCTATCACTATGGCGCAAGTAGCAGCTGCTCTCTGGACTCCGTAGATGACCACAGCAAAACGTCAGCCTAGGATGCAAGTTGCGACAAAGTAAGTCTGACATGAGTGGAAATTTTGATTTACTTCAAGCAACATTGCAACAGATTTTACAGAGTTGTACCCATCCTGTCAATCAATACAGTAGAATGACAATTTGCATAGTGCATCCTTCATACCACACTAGAGCCTATTAATGCGGCCCAATAAACCAGCCCACACACCCTACGGATTGTAAACACTAGGCACGCGGAAGCTAGCAAGCATCAACTGTTGAAACGGAAGCTGGTAAGCAACCCCAGGCACTAACCTGCTCGGTGGTGAGCTCGGCGCGATCCATGACGGCACGGGGGCAGTCTAAGCACCGTCCGCGAGCCGGCCCTGCAATTTAGCCCTGGATCAGATCGGAATCCTTCCCCTTCTCGCACCGCTCGCAAATCAGGTCGACGCGACAGATTAAAAAAAATCACTCGGAAGAGCGCGCGCGGAGAAGCGAACCGCGGAGAGATCGGATTTGTCCCACTTGGCACCACCGGCGGCGAGGTGGAGGAAGGATCGCGAGGCTCCCGGCGACGATTGAGGAAGACGAGGCTACAACAAGGAAGAGATCTGAGAGGAACAGGGGGCGTAATTAGATGAGAGCGAGACAAGTGGCCCGTGGCCGAGTCCCCTCCGCAGTCTGCACCGGTGAGGGTGGGGCCCACGGTTACATGGCCACGTGGAGGAGTCGTGCTCCGCTGGGCCTGCTGAACCTGATGGCGATGCGATCCATCCCGCAGCGCGAATCTTAGCGCCGATTTTTTTTTTTAAAAAAGCATCCTATTGCACAATTTTAGTCATCGCAAAATTCAGGTGAAGTATTGTCTTAAAAGTAGATCTTTCTTTTTTTCTGAAACTGAAGGAAAACGTGCGGCGACGGGTGATCACTCTCATGTACATTTGGTGGTCAGAAAGGTGCAGGATTCGCGAAGGGGATGCACCAAGAGGGCTGGGACAGATTGCACAGTTAGTAAATTGCTATGTTGAAGAATGGGCTTCTCTGAAGAATGTACAAGCTGAACCTGTCCAAAGTCGAAGGAAGCCGGCATGGTCTAGGCCACCAACTGATTTTTTATCAAGATTAATTGTGATGGGGCTTTTAGCCAGGAGGATCTAGCTGGTGGTTGGGGATACGTCATGAGAGGAGCCGATGGTACTGTTGTTTGTTCAGGCTACGGCAAGCTGGGAAAGGTTCTGGATGCTGCTCATACCGAGATCATTGCCTGTCTACAAGCTCTTCAGCGGGCAGTGATGTTGGGGATTCAGAAAGTGATCCTGGAGACCGACGCACTGATGGTGGCCCAAGCGGCAAATGCGCCCGTTCTTGACCGAAGCTCGGCAAGCGGATTGCTATGGGAGTTGAAAGAGTGCTTACATATCAATTTTTCTAGTTTTGTCGTAGCACATAAACCCCGTTCTTGTAATCTTGTTGCTCACAGTCTAGCTGGCCTTGAGGCGGAGTTATGTCCGGGTACTAATCCGATTATGGATAGTATTCCACCTTGTATAAATGTTCTGGTGGCCAATGATTTGGCATTAGGTTTTGAGTAATGGAGTTTCTTCCATGTTCAAAAAAAAGGTAGATCTTTCTTTTTGTTTGCGAACGAAACAGTAGATCTTTCTGTAACAGATTGCTCTGGACTTGGAATCATTAACAGATTTTCATGATTGCCTTGCTTTTTTATGGGAGCTGAAATCAGCACAGTACAGCATCTGATCGCCCCTTGCTGCGTACATGGGTCAGTAGATAGTACTAACAGTGCAAACAGATTTCAGGTTTAACGGAAGTGGCCACAAAGATAGATGACAATGAAGAGGAACTGTAAATTTGTTCACAATCACAAGTTCATTCGTTTCATGGAACTCATAAGGCCAACTGTGCTATGTGTTCAACGCAAAACCCAGTCTTTTATCCGTCAGTTTTACCAGTTTGACATGTAATTGTTACACTGCCTACAAAGACACTTTACCACTAGAGTTCTTCGTCGAAACTCGAAAGTCAGATTTCTGCACTGAAACATGTGAGCTCTATGAGCTATTGCTATCGGAATCTCAGTTGCTTGGAACCTCCACAATGTTGGATAAGAGGCTCCTTAGCTCCACCATCACAACATCCTGCTCGCCTTTAACCTACACATATACAGGGGACAAGAACAGATTTGATAGTTAGAGAACTCTTGGTGGCAAATCTAGCAGATCAGTAAAAGCGTCTTTTGCAAACAGTTCACCTCAATGGTGAAGACGCTCTCGGCGTAGCCATAGAACGTTATCGTGTTCAGGCTGGTGACCTGCGCGTTGTAGCTGTAGAGCGCTTCCAGCACCTTGGTGAAGACGCCGGTCTTCTTGCAGAAGATCCTGAGGTGGTATTTGTATGGCCCCAGAGGAACCAGCTCGATTTGACCCTGCACAGATGTATGGCACAGTGAGTCTGTGAGGGGTCAATAGTACATCACGGCTAAACGTTCAGCTTCAAAACAGACATCCAGTGATTTCAGGTTTTCTGATCTCACTCGTTCTAAGAAATTTCAGAGCTTAACCTTTCAGTACATGATAGTTTGATAGTTGAAGTTAATAATTTTATACTAATAATCGAATAAACAAGAGTCAATTTGATGAAATTTGAATTGTACCGATTCAAGCATCTGCTGGGGATAGTCAGCTATTGAAAGGTACTAAATTAGTGTCTCCCAAAATCGTGATGAGGCTGAGTAGCTCTATTAGTTTTCAGTTCCAAAAGAAGCACAACATTGATCCTGAAGTCCAATGCTATCATAACATTTCTCCTTTACCTAGTTGAACTATTCTGTTCTCATTCGTTCAAAGAAGATTTCAGGGCTTTTCTAGTTGTTAAGGTTCGGTTCAATGCATCCGAAAATTATGATGAAATTGAGTAACCAAACCTTCTATGAAATGTTCTGAATTTTCAGTTCCAAAGATGCACAGCAACTAATCCTGATGTTTAATATTTCCCTAAAATTATCCTTGAACTAGCTAAACCATGCTTGCAGTATCAACTCATAACAGCAGCGATTACCTGATACGGCATGTTTTCAGTGGCAGTGAAGGATTCAGAACACGGCGCGCTGCCCTGCTTCTCCCAGGCCTCTCCAGGCGAGTCGGCGAGCTGGCGTTGCAGCTCAAGGACCTGGTTCTGGAGCTTCTTGATGTGATCGATAGCGTCCGACAGGGTGGACTCCTTGCTCATCTGCACCACCAGCAGAGAAACATATCAGGTTGGGTGGCTGAGGAGTTCAGCATGTATTCCAGGACAACGGAATTCAGATGAGAGAAACAAAAGAAAGTTCATCTTCAGTTCTTCACTGGTTGCGGTTGTTTCAGAAAACAATTGTAGGAATTTTAGGTGGGGCATAATTTTTTTTAATATCGTCATTCGGCCGCACATGAATGTCTAATATATGGTTGATTGAAGATAGTATCTATCATTAGAAGATGTCCATATCAACTTAATATAATCTATTAATTCAACAAACACCAACGAAAAAAGAGTAAAAATCCAACTATCCAAGAGGTAAAAAAAATCTCTGAATATGAATTTGAAGAACAAATCAGTTAATGTATAATATACGATTATCTAAAAATAGAACACAACAACGCGGAGACATACCACCCCGTCCTCCATAACCTGCACTGCAGGACTGAGCTACTGAGGCAGATAGGTAGCAGTGGGCGCCAGGCGGCAGCCCTGCAGGCTAAGCCTGGCAAGGGGTGCCAGCGGGCCGCACAGGCAGCAAGGGCGCCGACGAGCTCGGCGGCATCAAGGGGTCGGCTGCAGCTAGGACTAGGGCGCGGCTGCGGCGTGCTATGGGCAACGCAGCGGCGCGCTAAGGGCGGCACGGCGACGAACTGAATGCGTGCATCACTGATGGGGTCATGGGGGTGGGGGAGGAAGATGAATCATGGTGGCCGTGATTGATCAGTCAAGTACGTACCTTGGTGATGTTCGGCACGACGGACCTGAGGTCGAGGATGTTGCGGTTGAGCTTGCCGCGCCTCTTGCGCTCGGCCACCAGGTTCTTGGACTTGAACTCCGCCGTCGGCTGGGCGTCCCCGCCGGCCTCCTTGTCCTTCTCCTCGTCATCCTCGTCTCCCCCGCCGCCGCCGCCGAAGTTGAGCACCGAGTCGACGAAGTCCTCCGCCTTGAGCTCCTCGCTGCTGCGCGCCCTCTGTCGGCGCGGCATTGCTTGCTGCTGCTGCTGTGCCTCCCCGCGCGGCGCCGAACCACAAGGAAAAGAAGGGAAGTTCAGTGCGGCACTGCTGCTGCTGCTCTCCCAGTCTCACTCACTCACCCAAGTCCCAACGCCCTGCTGCGGTTGCGTCCGGGGCTCGCGGTTGCCGTGGCTTATAAGGGCGGGGCGGCTGAGGAATCTCGCGGGGAGAAGGCAAGGCAAGAACGCAAGTGGGATGGCGATGGTCCTGCTTGCCTTGTTCCAGTTCAGGGGGGGAGTTGGTTGGAGGCTTGGTTGGTTACGCTGGCTGTGGACTGATGACACTGATGCGGGGCTCCAGGTTAACTGAAAGATGCCGAGGCTTGAGGCGTGGTTGGGTCATGGGAAATCTTCAGGGAGAAAAGGGGTACACGGATCCGTACGACGGGATGCTGCTTGGAACGTGTCCCAAAGCACATCGGAAAATCAATAGGATGAACACCGACGGCTATCAACCGGCGAGGAAGCGGAGCTGCAGAGAGCGGCGGCGCGGCGTTGGGCTCTGTGCGGCACTGGGGACGGGCGCTAGCTGCGGCTCTACGCAGTGCTGGGGCCAAGCATTGGAGGCAAGTCAGCGACGCGGCGCTGGGGCCGGCCGGCCGGGCGCTGGCAGCGGCGCGGCACTGGGAGCCTGGGGCCAGTGCTGGAGGAAGCTGGCGGCGGTGCGTGCCTCTGACGTCCATGGATGAGAGAGAATTCTCGTGGAGCCATTATAAAAGATGCAACTTGCATGACACCGAAATTTTTCATCCTCCTTGTCACCGTCAGTTCACAAATTTCATCCCCTCCAAGCCTGATCGGCTGTTGGTTTTGCTGCTGGGCTGGCTGCCGTGGCTGTGCGCAGCCCTTGGGCTCGCTGTAGTGCCTTGGCACCTGTCCAGCAGCAGGTGCAGGCTGCAGCATGTCTAACACAGCCAATAAATAAGGCAATAAGCTCACAGATTTCAGCCATTATCACAGAAATTTATCATAGAAATATGGTCAGATTTTAGCAAGCCAATATCACAAAAATATGCTCACAGATTTCAACAAGCCAATAAGAAGGCAACATAGTTCTGGTCACCCATTAACCACATAGGTTTAGTCACAGCCATTTTAGGCCAAGAGAAGTTGGACCATAGTAGAGTTTTGGTCAAATAACCATTTCACAGGCATCACATTGGACCACACTATTATAGTTTTGGTCATACATGCAACTAACATACCAAAATCACTCCAAAATGGTTGCAAGAACGTTCAAGTTATATCAGCAACTGTCTCTTGCTCCTAGTTCCCATTGCAAGGCTGGATGGAGAACTCTGCGCCTTGCTCCTAGTTCCCATGGCTGGAGAACTAGTGTTCTTGTCAGCTTCCTTCTCTGCTGCCTTCTTCTTGACTAATGTTGCCTTCTTGTTCACTTGTGTTGTCCTCTTCTTCCCTGCTGCAGATTTCTCCTTCTCTGGTGCTTTTTCCTATGTTGTTGTTTCATATGGAGAAGGTAGCAACATGGGCAATGGAATTGGGTCCACCTGATTGGAGTCTGTCCCTGATCTTTTGGTCCAGCAAGAACATTTAGTTTAGAAATGTTATGTTTCCTTCACAACAAGCAACATAGAGGAATGTCTTACTTGATAGATGCAGTAGATGATTGAGTCACAGAGGGGGACTTTCTCTTCCTTTTGTTGGGCCTAGGGACTGATGTTGAAGTGCTCAATGTTACTGAAAATGTCATTCTAGGGGCAGTGAATGACACAATGCTGGTCTCTGTTGTACATGTAGGGGTTGGTGCTACCTTCTTCTTCTTCTTTGGCTCTCCCCTGTCATTTTTACAATTGTAGTCAGCTTTCATAGTCATATTTGTGATGGTAGAACATACATAAATAGCAGCATACATAAATATGGTTACATACCTCTCTAACTTCATAACCTCAATGTCAGCTGGATCCCCATTTTTGCAAGTATGCCAATGATGGCCATATTGTTCACATATGAGGCACTGGTTCCTACCCTTGTTCCCTCTTCCACCTTTTATGGCTGCCTTGAACCTTTTTTATTTTTTTCTCCTACCAGATGTGGATATCAGCAAAGGAGGATGCATGAAGAAGCCATGATTTGATTTTGGCCACATCTCTTTGCCATGAATAGCAGGAATGATGCCCTCATAAGCAGATCTAAACTTTTGAACTGAGAAATAGTTGTCCACATAATTCTGAATCTTCTCATTCCTGATTGAAGTGATGAAGGCCAATGCATGTTTACAAGGCTTCCTAGACAGCTGCCAAGCCCTACAGGTGCAAATCTTGTCCTCTAAATTTACAACATATCTGAATCCAGTCCCACCTTTGGCACACACCTCTGCATATCTAAAATCTCCCCCCATCTGATCCACTAATTACTTCCATGTCAATTGTTCCTACTTTCCTCTTTCAACTTCTTCAAGATTGGTGCAAGTATAGTATCATCCATCTGCCTTGTATTTTTCTTCTATTGTTCCACTTAACCATCAACTTCTGCCTGATCCTGTCCATTAGGTCATCTAGGTGCAATGCCTTGTCATCCTTGATCCAATTGTTAAAGCTCTTAGCAAGGTTGTTTGTCACATAGTCAACCTTACTACATGTGGGAAATTGACTCCTGGTCCATAGCTTCTTCGTGATTCTGCTTCAAATATTCCATAGCCTCTGGTTTTGCCTCTGCCATGGCAAGGTAGTTTATGTCAAACCAGTATGCATTCCAAGAATAAGCAGCAGCCCACAAATGGTCATCAAATACTTTCCTAGTCTATCTTTTCATGAAATTTTGGACCAAATTCCACATACATTCTATGTGTTCTGCTGTTGGGAAGACTTCAGTGACACCAGCCATGACTGCTTGGCCACAGTCTGTAGAAAATGTCAAACCAGCAGGGGTTCCTATTGCTTCCCGAAGCCTTTGCATAAACCAAATCCAATTGTCACTGGTCTCTGAATCTATCACACCTACAGCTATTGGATACATCCAACTATATCTGTCCACTGCACAAGCTATGCATAACTGTTCCCTAAACCTTCTAGTAAGAAATGTACTATCAACTGCCAAATAAGGTAGACAACCATTGAGAAACCCATCTATGCATGGTTTCATTGCAAAGAATAACCTATTGAACCTGATCTTGTCACCTACAGTATGATGATCAATCGCTACAAAACTTCCTGGACTAGATGATTCTATTTGCTCCTTGAATCTGAACAAATTGTCAAAACTTGATCCCCACTTCCCATACAATTGGTCAATAGCAAGCTGTCTACCATAATAAACCCTTTTGTATGGCATAAGTACCTTGAATTTATCCTTGATCCTTCTCTGCAGTTTTGTTGCACGAACTGTTGCGTCATCCACTAGCCACTCTTTCACCATTTCACAACACCAGAACTTGGATGCATGCTTGACATTACCACTCCTTCTAGTACTGCTGCAATCATGAGGAAAATGATTCCTCTTCACCTAACACAAGAAAAAAAGGAATTATTAACATTGTTAATAAAATAACTACAAGGACCAGAAAAAAGACATAAGTTGGTACACATTACCTTGACTGTAACATTGTCACCCATGGTAGAAGCATGGATCCTCCACTTGCAGCCATCAATTCTCGCAGAGCAGTAGGCCCTCACTCTCCCTGATTTACTTTTCTCATTGTTATACTCAAATTCATTTATTATAGCATGAGTGGCTAAAGAAAACTTAAAAGTAGCTATGTTGGGATAAATACTACCCACAACCATTGGTGGGTTATATTTGTCAATCACTACTTTAGGGATGTGAGTTGGAACTTTGTCAGTCACAGGCTCATTAGGGTCATCGTCAAAGTCAGGGATGTGAGTTGGAACTTTGTCAGTCACAGGCTCATTAGGGTCATCGTCAAAGTCAGGATCAGAACCCTCACAGTCAGGGCCAGTATCCTTATGATCAACATCACATTCAGAGTCGGTCCCTGGGTTCTCCTCATCAGGTGGGACTGGGTATTTTTGGGGTAGCTTATCACTGTATAGGTTCTCCTCATCAACTCCAACATGCTCATTCTCTGGTTCAGGATTCATCAGGTAAACATCCTCAGGTTGTGTCTCAGCAGTTCCAGTGGTAGGATTTGACTGAGAAGGATGTGTCTCAGTAGCAGTTTCAGTGGCAGGATTTGGCTGAGAAGGATGTGTCTCAGTAGCAGCTTGAATGGAAGGTTGAGATATGGCTTGGCTAATTTGTGCAAGGCATGGATCACAGATTGAAGGTGTGCTTGGGATTTTAAAGGATATAGGATGCACATCTTCCCAATCTGGTATACTAGGTGGCTCACAGCTAGGAAGGTGATGAGCAATCGACATGTAAATGCACTTGGTTTCAACATGCCTAGCAAACATAGCAACCAATTCTTGGTCTATGCTGACCTCAATGTTGGACTTAGACATAGGACAGTAGTAGTACACTTTCACTACCTCTCTAAAACGAGGTGGGTACTTCTCCACAATCTCATCAACAAGATCTTTGAAATTCGTCCTATCTGCATCTACCACTTTGTTAAAGCTAAACCATCGGCACCGAGTATTGCTAGAAATAATCCTTATTTCTAGATTGTAGCTCGACTCTTGGTCCATCCTACAGATGTAGTTTATTAGTGAAGCTACCCGAGATCGAACTTCGATAACGCATCTAATCTACTGAAACCAGAAATCAATCGTGGGAGTACAAGGGAAGACTTACCCCTCTAGAAGCCACGAAAGCATCTTGCAGTTCAAGATGGGAGTGCAGAGGTGGGGGATTTCCTAGCGCCGTCGCCTCCTCCCGCGCGACGCCCGCGCGTCGCCTCCCGTGCGCTGCCCGGCGCCGCAGCCCGCGTGCCGCAGCTCGTGCGACGCAGCCGCCGCCTCCTCTACTGTCGCCGCTAGTTCTAGGGTTTCGGTGGAGACGGAGCCGGGAAAGGAGCGCTCCTGGGAAAGTCGCGAGCAAGAGAGGAGGAGAAG